AAAAAAAAAAAAAAACAGTCGTAGCCGCTCACCTGTCTTGTCCACACACGGGCCGACCCGTCTTCCCAGTTAGGCGTGCCGGGGACGCCAGGGTGTGCCTTCCATCTTGGAGCGTTTGGGTTTGGTATGAGATATGGCCTCCGGTTATTTCCCTAACAAAAGCCACAAGTCATTTCTGATGAAAGTGGTTCGGAGGCAGAATGTGGGACTCTAGAAGCTTTCATGAAAATCATAGCGCCTACGATTCCTTAACAGATTAATTTGCTAATTAGATGCGCTCTGTGGAGAATCTAGCCAAGCACCAACCATGAACTACCCACGCAGCAAGCGTTTCTGCCTTCCAGCTTCCCAACGCATAGCTTTTCCCAACGCATAACCCTGTTAAACAAGTAATAACTGCTACAAGAAACCACAACTCAAAACACACTCCTGTGTGTGTCTTGGTAGTAGGAGTGTAATCATCATCACCAAATTAGATTGTGTTTGGAGCTTAACAAACCTGTGCTATCTGATGAGTCATATTTTGTCTGGAATAAGGCCATTGTACCCTCAGTTTATTTGAGAAGCATGCATGCCTCTAGTCAAAGTGCAGCGTGGCCCCTTCTCCCAGAGGGCAGGGCTCCCTTCCTCTGCCCGCTTTTATTAAGCGCTACCTTTTCTCTGCAGGTGCATTCCTATCTGGTGGAAATGTGATGGGCAGAAGGACTGTGCAGATGGCTCTGATGAGCCGCCCATGTGCCCACAGCGCTACTGCCGCCTGGGACAGTTCCAGTGTCAGGATGGCAATTGCACCAGCTCCCACTTTTTATGCAATGCCCACCAAGACTGCCCGGATGGGTCTGATGAAGACCGGATTCTCTGTGGTTTGTTGCATGGATTTGTGCCCTCGTCTCTACGTAATTGTGTACAGATGGGATGCTGTAGGGATCTATTGAATGTCATAAGCCACAAGTGGATCAAAAGTCTCGGAGAAAAGGAAGGCTTTAGAAAAGGACTCCTAAGGACTTCTAGAGGGGTGGTTGATTACTTGGGGGGGGTTGCTAACTGCAAGGTCAGCAGTTTAACCCCACCGGCTGCTTTTCAGGAGAAAGATGAGGCATTTTGCTTCCGTAAACAGGAAGCAGTTCTTGGCCCTCTAGGGCCACTGTTAGACTCAATTAGATGCTAGTGCGTTTCGGGTGTCCACAAGGCCAACTGCTGAAGCAGATAGGAAGTTGTCGATGTCGGTGACTCATCCCTGGGTGTGTAGAATCCTCTGCAGAGCTAACGTTGGGAGTAGAATGAGGGTTTCCAAAGCAAATGTTCAATAGCACGTGTCCGTGTTTGATCCTTAGCTTCTCATTCTGCATGCAAGAAAAGATATTTAAGATTACATGGCTGTTTAAGAATGTAACGATGTTTGGGGGACAGTGATTGTCAGAGGAAACACTGCTCATGTTGGTGACTGATTGTAGTTGGTTGTAGCCAAATACATTAGGACATTAGTCCCCATATGCAATGGTGATTTTTTGAGGCAAATTAGGAGTGTATGTTCTCCTGGTTGTCCAGGCTGATGAGCAACGTCTCTGCTTACAGAGAATCACCAGTGTGGGGCCAATGAGTGGCAGTGTGCCAACAAACGCTGCATCCCAGAGTCGTGGCAGTGCGACATGGAGGACGACTGCTCTGACAACTCCGATGAAGACAGTTCCCACTGTGCCACCAGAACCTGCCGCCCAGGCCAGTTTAAATGTAACAACGGCCGCTGCATCCCCCAGTCTTGGAAGTGTGATTATGACAATGATTGTGGCGACTTCTCGGACGAACCCATCCAGGAGTGCAGTAAGTTCCCCGGGGCGGACATCCAGGAGTACAGTAAGTTCCCCGGGGCGGACATCCAGGAGTACAGTAAGTTCCCGGGGGCGGACATCCAGGAGTGCAGTAAGTTCCCGGGGGCGGACATCCAGGAGTGCAGTAAGTTCCCGGGGGCGGACATCCAGGAGTGCAGTAAGTTCCTGGGAGGGAGGGGGACATCCAGCAGTAAGTTCCTGGGAGGGAGGGGGACATCCAGGAGTACAGTAAGTTCCCGGGAGGGGGGTGGACATCCAGGAGTGCAGTAAGTTCCCGGGGGGTGGGGGGATGCGTGGGGGGAGGACCAGGAGCAGCGAGGCAAAGAGAAACTGTGGGGAATGAGAAAAGCTGAAGTTCAGCTCCGAGAGGCTCTTCAGGTGGCTCTAGGACCTGTCGCTGCAAATGAGTGCAAAAATTACCTTCTTGTCGTCCAAGCTGGTCAGCCAGTGCCGCTGCTTGCTGTGACTCCCCAGTGTGGGTCCAGCGAGTTGCAGTGTGCCAGCAAATGGGGCCACGAGCGCAAATGTGCCCAGCAAGGCAACATCTGGTGTGTGCTGTGCCAATAATTTCTCTCGATACAAGGAGTGTCTAATCACTCAGAATGTGATGAGAATTTACAGCTTGTATAAATGTAGATACAGCTATAAAATATACTGTGTGATAGATATAGTGCATGTTGTATAGATGCCTACACACACAGTACCTGGTCACATACACTTTGTGGTTAAGAAGGTGGGTTTTTACTGAGAGGAGAAATCTGAGCCTCAAGTGACTTACAGGAATGCCTGTTTCATGGCAGAGCTGGCGTTTCAAACCCAGCCCACCAATTCCGCTGCCACACAAGTGAGTGGTATTGGGGTCATGCGAAAACGTAGGGACGTCTCTTTCTCTGCTCTTGGTGAGCTGATCAACTCTCCACGTGGCCAGAGCCTACTTAGCTGGTACTGTGGCCATTGCTACTCGACCGTCATGCTCCCTTGATGTGACAGTGGAGAGACAGTTACTTGTGTGCTTTGGGAGCAGGATGGAAACTTCAGTTCTGATTTGCTACCTCCTCCCTTTCCAGTGGGATCTGCATATCGCTGTGATAATTATACAGAGTTCAGCTGTAAAACCAACTATCGCTGCGTTCCCAAGTGGACTGTGTGCAACGGTGTTGACGACTGCAGGGACAACAGTGATGAGGAAGGCTGTGGTAAGAGGGCCGCAGAGGGTGGGGGGCTGGGGGGTGGGGTGACCAGGGGTGGATAGCTATCTCCAGTGAGAAGTGCCACTCGTAGGGGATGAGAATGGGTTTTTTTCATGTTTACGCTGAACAAAAGACCATCAGCTGATGCTGCTAATCCCATTTTATACCTTCATAGTATTTGCCAGGCTTTTAATTATATTCTCTTAAATGAAATCCTATTCTAAAGAATTCTGTAATTGGGGATGGAATTATTAAAATTATGGGAATGTGTGGAATCATTTTTAATTGGCAAATTTTGTCATTAGAGAAATATAAGGAAAAGTGTGGGGAAGAGAATAGTCTTAGTATCTATCGTCAAAACAGGATAATTAAAAAGAAAAAGGATTTCTTGCTTGGGCATTTCCATGTTCTGAATGCCTGCCTCTCGGACATTCCATTATCATTCATTGGGCTGCTGTTGTCAGTCAGACGAGTTGAAGGAACAGATGGGTAAAAGACCAAGTGAATGAGTGGAGTGCCAGGTCCCTAGATGACTTGATGGCTGGTGCCCACCCCGTGCAGCCCGGGAGACAGGCCTGACGGTCTGCTTTCGAAAAGTCACCGTCTTGAAAACTCTCAGGAACAGGGCTCCTCTGCACATGTGTCTCTGTAAGTCAGCGTCGACTCAGCAGCAATCAGAGTCAGCGTGGTGTATGTGAGAGGGCTTTAAAAAGTTCATGGGAATGGAATTATAAGGTTAGGTAACTTTTCCTTGAATTTTTGGAAGCCCTCTTATGCTCTCATTTGAAATCAAGTGACGTGTGTGTGTGTGTGTATTGGGTGTTTTTGAAAGAGAGGTTAGGAAGATGATGGGTTATTTTAATAACACTTTGTTGAACTGACTAAAGACAGTGGATAAAAATGCTCCACTTACTGGTGGTAATTATGTAGCCTCCCTTAATGAGTCTGTGTTTCATATTACAAAGCAGATACCATTTTGACTTTTGAGCAGCTTCTTTATTGGAAGCAGGTCTAATTTCAAGCTCTAGGACAGGTTCTCTTTAGCTAAAAAAGCATTGAATGTGGCTGGCATATCTCTACCAGGTTCAAAATTCTCAAGGCAGTCAAGTTGGTGCATTTCTTGACCACTGGCTTCTTAAGTCTTTGCAATGACTCTTCTTTGCAGAGGAAGTGACCTGCAGTCCCTCAGGGCACTTCCGCTGTGACAACCACTACTGCATCCCTCTTCGCTGGAGATGTGATGGCCAGAACGACTGTGGAGATAACTCAGATGAGGACAAGTGTGGTGAGTTTTCAGGGTTCTCTTATCCTAATATTCCACCAGAGCTGGGATAGTTGCTCTCTGTCCACTCTTGAACTGTCCCGTCCTTCCTTCCCTAACTGGTGGGATGGAGTCAACTTTTTGATCACACGCTGTCTGTGGCTGGTACTGGTTTGACTTTTTCTTAACATTCCCCCTGAGATGTTTCTAGTAAAGCTTTGGGAGGATATATATAATATGACAACACAGGATAATACAATAATGACTGCTGCTGTAAGGGAGCAAGATGAGGCTGGCTGCTCCGTTAAGATTTACCATCTCAGAAACCCACCGGGGCAGTTCTACTCTGTCCAACAGAGTTGCTACAAGTTGGATTCGATGGCCATGACTTTTTGCATTTTGCTTTTTAGTTTGTGAATTCTGATTTCACCAATACTAAATATAATCCAACTTAGTTGTCTTTTCAAAGAAAGAGGTGGTAACCACTTGCCATGGGCAGTTGGAAAAAAAAAAATCAGGAAGCAGATTACACCTCTGGATATCAATGGGCTAAAAATCTCTAACACAATGGGGGATTAAAAAAAAGTCTCTTAAAGGGATTGGCATTTTATTGGTTATAAAAAAGTTTATGTTGATTTCCAGAAGAGGCTAACTAGAGTTTCATGAAGTCAAACAGTACCCTTATAAGCTTAAGTCACCTTTGGCCTTTACAGATTGGAACACTGAAACCGAAGGTGTGTCTTTGGAGGGCAGATAACCTGCCCAAGCCGCCCTCTGGGATGTTGGACCAAGCAGGGCCTTAGGCATGGAGGGCACTTTGACCTGTGTCTTGGGTGTGAGCAGGGGTGTCCCCTGATGGCACGTGACTTTCCTTTTCAGTCCCTCGAGAGTGCACTGAGAGTGAGTTTCGATGTGACAACCAGCACTGCATTCCCTCTCGATGGATCTGTGACCATGACAATGACTGTGGGGACAACTCCGACGAACGGGACTGCGGTAACTTCAGAGTTTGGTGGGAGTGGGGTGGGGGCGGGTAGATTTATCAGACTTCTCTACTTTTCTTTGTCTTTATTTGTTTTGGTAATCCATCTTAACCTAACACAGTACTTTCTGTTCTATATTTTTTTGGTGCTATAATCTTATAACAGATCAATGAGACTAGGGGAAAATGACAAAGAATTTCAAATATGTAACTTGAACTTGAAGGCCAGATCAAATTTCAACTCTCAGACCCTGTAAACAAAAAGATCAATCTTTGTACAATTCTACACAATATGCTTTTGTAGAAATTAGAATATTCAAACAGGAATTGTAGAAGTTGGGTCATTGTTATAGACTGATCAATGGTTGGGTTGCAGAATAAATCAGTAAAGATTAAGGTTTGGGAACACTGATTTCTGAGAAGAAGCTTAACAGCGGGCCTTATTATGGAGGGTGCAGTGCCACATACTGCCATCTCCATCTCTTGAACAGAGAAAGGGTGAGTGTGAAGCCTACACTAACCACAAGCTGTGAATTTGCTGTGAGCCAGTCACCAGGCCTGGGTAGCAATATTCACTCCATGTAGCTAATACCTGTCTGGGAGTGACAATATTTTCTCTTCAGAGCTGAGGACCTGCCATCCTCAATATTTTCAATGTGGGAGTGGACATTGTGTGCCTGACCACTTGAAGTGTGATGGATTCGCCGACTGTCTCGATGCCTCTGACGAATCCACTTGTCGTAAGTCTCTAGATACCCATGGTCATGTTGACCCCAAATGTATATGCTACAAGTGTAGACCACAGCTTTCCCATCAGCTGCCACTTCTTAGATTAAAAGGCCTTACATATCTTTTATTTTGTCTCCACTGATAATGACTTCATTTTGGGTGTGAGTTTCCATATATCTATATCTATATCATCTATACACTGTAGCCATTCAAGGGCATTTCATTCACAATATATCAAGCAGAGGATGCATCAAGTAATCCATGCTGAAAGTATATATTGTCAGCTGTTATATACATCATTAATTATATAAAAACATTGTAGGTAGGAAAGGAATATTTGAGCCATGAATTTACTAATGCAAATAAGTTGAGTTGGTCTTTGGACATACTAAATTTATAATAAAAACTATCTGAATTGTATGATGCAATGACTATAAAATATTTGAAACCTATATCATCATTCACATTCTTAGCCATTATGAATCATTGCATAAATATTAATTTGTTGAAGGTTTTCCATGATGGCTCTTATAAATGATGTGTTTCCATGAGCCTAGATAAATATTTGAGGAATAATGCAAGTCCTGATACACTAGAGGAGTTGAGCTCATCTGTAGCTGTGAGTTAGGTGTTGGGCTTCTTTTTCAAGGTCATCACTTCAAACCCACAAACCACTCTGTAGGAGAAAGATGAGGCTGTCTGCTCCCATAAAGTTTGGCAGCCTTAAATCTAAGTAGGGTCTCTGCGATCAGAATTAACTCAATGAGTGCGTGTGGAGGGAAAGCCCAGTGCTCTGCCAGTTGACTCATGTCAAGGAAACTGTGCTGTGTACGGAACCCCACTGGCCGTAGACAGGGTTCTTCAGAAATAATCCATCTGAAGCCCAGGCAGTGTATCTCGTGAACAAACAAAGGCAGCTAGAGTGGAAAGAGCTAATGGAAAAACAGCAGGGCATCTTTCCAAAACCAGCGAGTTTTTCTAATAATTTGAATATATATCCTTCCTACCAACAGCCACCCGCTTTCCCAATGGTGCCTATTGCCCAGCCAGTATGTTCGAATGTAAAAACCATGTTTGTGTCCAGTCATTTTGGCAGTGTGATGGTGACGACGACTGTGGCGATGGCTCCGATGAGGAGCTCCACCTGTGCAGTAAGTGGGAGAGTAATTGAGTGTCTGAGAAGGGTGTTGTCTGGCACAACCTTGGTGTTTCTTACAGGCAGTATGAAGGTAGGGTTGGAAACACTCATATACCCTGACCTTACCTTAAGCCTAGACTCAATGAGCCAGAATCTGCAGGAATGGGGCCTGGAAAAAGCGAATTTGGGGGAAAAAAAACTAAACTAAAAACAAAACCAAAACCAAAAGAACATGCCTTAGCTGATTTAGTCTCTTGAGTGAATACAATGATGCCTCTTGCTCCACTTTCCCACACGCTCCAGTCACCCGAGAAATGTCAAGACGCAGCTCTGGACTCGGGATGCCGGCATCACGTGGATGTTACCACACATGCAAATCGATGAGCCCCACTCCAGACTGACTTACCCAGAATCTCTGCAGGGGTCCCAGTCATCCAGGCACCCATCATGCCCTTCAAGCTCCGCGTGAGCACCGTGTGGGGGTAGATGCCCTCACCACTTGGCAGGGTGTCCCCAGCAGCATTTCTGCCGAGACTCTTGGTTAGCTCCCAATCTGCCTGTGCTGTCATTTGCCTCTGACGCTCACGTTGCTGCTCAGTTTATCACTACTCGTGTTTAGTCCAGGGATCTGATTCTCAAAAAGGACACAAGAGAAGATTTCCTTTTTCCTAGAGAACTTTAATTTGTGTTTGTTTTATTTTATTGGTGACAGCCCAGCAGGTTTTTCTTTCTACCTTCTTACTTTAGGAATTAGGAATTATGTTTTGTTTTCTTTTTAACTTGGTGAATTTTGGAAATATCTTGAGCATGTATAACCTTCCATGAAGAAGTCCTTTGGAAGCAACTTCTCTTTACAAGACAAAATTCTCATTGCAAGTAAAATGAAAACATGAGTGAGGCAGGGCCATGGCCCCCTATGCAAGTGAGAAAAAGATGAGGCTTTCTACGCCTACAAAGAGTTACAATCTCGGAAGCCCACAGGGCAGTTCTATCCTGTCCTATAGGGTCACTGTGAGTTGGTATCAGCTCAATGGCAGTGAGTGTTAACACTTTTAATAATGTTGCACATGGCTTCACAGCAAATGACTCCTGCAATAGTTATACTAGTAGTATAACTTTCAAGAATAAACTGCTGTCTCCCCGCAACCCAGATTTGAATGAAGCGGCTCATACTTTAGAACAATGTTCCATGTACAGATCCACTGGTTTCTGCACTCTCGTGGCTACCGTGTCCTCCTCACTCGTTCAGGCCTGATAACTGCCCTGCGCTGTCCTGACTGAGACCCTTCCCATAAGAAGCCCCTCCGACCACCTTCCTGCTCCATTCTATTCCAGATTCCCTCAGCAGATATTTTCAAAGCACATCTCCTTTGCGGCTCATACCGCCCTTAAAATTGAATGCTGAACTCATGTCTGTTGTCTGCTAGAATGAAAGTTCTGTGGGGACAACGTCTGTGTCTCTCTGGGTCCCTGTTGTATCTAATACCCAGTGCCGCATCCTGGGGTGAATTTGTTGATTGGACGAATGAATTCAAGAAGCAAGTCTGACAGTAGCATGAGAACGTCTGTAGACGTTGGCACATGCTCTATTTTTAACTCGGCATTGCTGCTTTTTCGTCTTTCAGTAAACATTTCCTGTGACCCCACATCCCGTTTCCGCTGTGACAACAACCGATGCATTTACAGACATGAGCTGTGCAACCATGTGGATGACTGTGGAGATGGAAGTGACGAGAAGGAGGAGAACTGTATGTCAACCTTGGACGGGAGAAAGGATGGGGAGGGGCCCACCCTGGGATCTCAGTGACTACCTTCGAGGGAGGCTTGGGTTGTTCCCGTGACCGACTGCTAGTATGGCTGATCGCTGCATGCTGATAGCACTGTGTTCAGGACCATGGGAATGCATGCTTTTCTTAGCCAGAGCCCTGCCACTGTCCACTTATTCCTATTTTATTTGAGCAAGGTGTTTGCAAGACCCTTTGGGTAAACATTTTATAAGCGTTTCTTTCCTCGTAGGAAAATAAGAGCAAACATGAACTGTCATTTGCAATTACCTCCTGGGCTCATCGCTGCTTCACACATTCCGTTAATTAACTTTCTCAAAGAAAGTTGGGGCACTCTCCAACCTAGAGTTCCTACTTGCCAGTCTAGGGCTGTTAATGACACCTCTGAAAAGATGGTGTTAAAGAAGGCAGCTCGGTGCTAACAGAGCTTATCTAACGCCCCTCTTTCCGATGAAAATGCATTTTCTGGAAGAGAAAGATGATAGATTAGTTTGAGGTAGAAATTTCAGACTGACTGCACTTCATATTTCAGATATTGGAAAATCTGTGAATATCTTTTACTTTTAGAATGTTTTAAATCTACCCATTGAAGGAAAGAATTGATCAATTTTCTGGGCCATTTAATATAGAAAGGCCCGTGAAGAAAATTATTTCCCCTGGCTGTAATTGTGCTTCCTCCTTCCCCCTTCCCTCCTAAAATGATACTGCCTGGGAACATTTACATAAATGTATAATTTTCTCATTTCTTTTGCTTCTCTTGAGCGGCTGTAGGTTTCTGTGCCTGGCTCCTCGCCAGCTCCCATCCTACAGGGGCTGTGTGGCCTCTGTGACAGCGTTTAAGTGGGTACATATTTATTTTGAGCAGAGCTGAACCTGCGGTTACAACATTGCTATATTTATTTGAGTCAAAATAGAAAAAGAAGTAAAACTGAAAATAAGGCTTTTTCCCCCGTAAAAGTGAAACATATTTCCCCTTCCCCCCTTGCCTACTAATAAAGGTGTGGTGTGTGTGTGTGTGTGTGTGTGTGTGTGTGTGTGTGTGTAGCACAAGACATTTGTGGGGCTTCTGTCAAAGCAGAGAGGGGAAAGGGAATCAGCAAGCTTTTCTTCCCATAGTTCTTGAATCTGTTTTGTTTCTTTGTCCCCTTTCACCGCTGCCTCCACTGCATTGAAGCCACCCAGAACAATAGATGGACAATCGCTTTAAGCAAATGAGATAGTTCCCATCCAATCTGCCTCTCTGAAGTCTGTTAAGATTCAGACTATTATTGTTGACAAGCTTTTCTCATACTGCAAATTTCTGGGCTTTATTTGCTTTCATTTAATTTACTCGTAAGTCCCTGAGCTTACCTCTTCCTTTTCTACCCTGCCACTCTCAAGTAACGGCAACCAAAGTTCATCACTAACATCTTATTTCTAACCTCCTTGCCTTTACCTCCTGGTTCAGTAAGTGTGGGGTCTGTCTGACAGCTTTATGAGATGCTTTGTCATTGCGCGTCACACACATCTTCTTTCTTGCCTCCCATATCCGTTTCCTCCTCACTTCCTGTTCACTATCAAGCCACCGCCAAGTCATCTGTGGCTTTATTAGGGAGCTATGCTACTTCTGTCACCATTATGTGACTCAGGGTAATGCATGCTAGCTGTGGCAAACATACTTTTCCAAATTCTCAGTAGCAGAACGTAACAAAGATGTATAGGTTGCATCGCCCTTCTCTACTGTGTAAACTCTGCTACCTGGAGTATGTGTTTCCAAGGTTGTCACAGCATGGTAAGGGGTGTGGAGGAGGCACCTGGACTTACATTTGCATCTGTACAGATGTGACACAGTGAATTGGCCGAGCCAGTCACGTTTGCAAGGGTGTCTGAGAAACAGGGGAAGCAGGTGAACAACAGGTGTTTCTACCACAGGTGGGGAAGCCTCTTGTTTCTCAGAACAACAAAGTCTTGACTTTCCTTTATTCTTACCCTATAGGTAGGGCTCCAACCCCTAGTCCTTGTACAGAAGATGAATTTAAGTGCGGCGGTGGACACTGCATTTCCATGGCCTACGTGTGTGATGATGTCGATGACTGTGGGGACCATTTTGATGAAACCGGCTGCTGTAAGTAAAGACTCCATTTGTTAGGCCCGGGTAAGTCGCCACCTCACCAAGGAGGTCGGAACCACAGATGGTGCTCTGAGCTGCAGACTCCTGTGGCCCCATGTGCGTCAAAGTAGAACTGGGCTTCCTGAATCCGTGGTTGAGTTTTCAGAGTAAATGGCCAGGGCTTTATTCCCAGGTGCTTCTGGGTCCAGGCATGCATGCTAAACATTTGCACCACCCAAGGATTTCATTCACACCCTAGCTACCTGTTAAGAAGTCCTTCATCTATCTATATTAGACACTATGCTAAACATTCTACATCAGTTACTTTATTTCATCCCGGTAACACTCAATCCTCTTATATCCCCTTCTTGTCCACCTTCTCTTTTCTTAAACCACCAGTGAGAAAGGCTTACAGGTTCACTCAAATTGTCCATGACACCCTACCTTACTTGGTATAGTCAGGACTCAACTACAGCATCTAATGACTTGTGTGGGGGTGCACTCAGGTGTCTCTCTATCCAGAGACATCCTCCTAGCAGTTCATTAGATGCTTTTTAGTATCTTATACCTTATTACCGGCACACTTTTTTTTTTATCTTACTGAAGGGAAAAGCTTCAGAGTCTGGCTTTAGATGTCGGCTAAGGGTAGAAGTAGTAGGTCGACCAACCCAACTGAGAGCTAGTACGAGTTCACTCCTAGGATGGAATTGTTGACCCGGTGTGCTAATAACCCAAACCTTTCTAAGTCCTTGATAGCTGACGAAGTGCTTTCACTTCCTACACTGCCTAATGTGCCGCTTCCTGAAGCAGCTGATAAATAAGCATCCGAGAGCGCACACCACTTCGTTGGCATTACCCAGTGCGGCAGAGGCTGGACTTGGAGGGTCCGGAGCCTCAGGCTCAGAGACCTGCTCTCTAGTTCTTTCCGCACTAGCCGGGCCTCTCCTGGGGAGGCTTCTTAGCCTCAGTGCCCTCACAGGGAAACGGGGGAGTTCTTCAAACTCTAGGAGCCCGGGCTTATCCCCTCAGCACCACGTGCTTTCTGTTCGTGAGGCTTTCAACCATTTTCGGGGTCCTCCAGAGGATTTCCCTGCAGCGTTCCTCCTTCGTGGGATGAGGGACCCATGATCGCGGGCTGGCTTGCCATTTTGCCTCACCTGTTGTTCTCAGTAGGGCTTGATGTGCCATTTTAAAGCCTGACGTGAGGGGTTTTCAAAGCTGCCTAGCAGGTTCTGCCTGACTGCTGTTGGAGGCTGGTGTGAACTGTTTTAGGAGTTTGGACTGTTTCTACTTCAGGCTCCAGTTGAACCGTGGTTTCTGTTTTCATTGCCCGTGTCTGTTAAAGGGCTTAAAATGGATTAGAGTCCTTTGTTAGATGACATTTAATTAAACATGAGGCTTGTTTAAAGGCAATAAGTACCAGAGACATGCATTTCGGTACAAAGGTAAGGTGGCCAGATGTCCCGATTTGGGCAGGACAGTCCCGATTTTTAACAAATTTTCCCATGTCCCATGGCATTTTTAAAAAGTCCCGATTTTTGGAAAGAATGCACGACAAGCTGGGGTGTACGGTTTTCAGCTGCCATGTGGCTATTTTGCCAGGATATGAGTTTTATCGATGGTGTCCCGCTTTACCAATGTTAACATCTGGTCACCTTATACAAAAGCAGCCTCACTTCTCAGTGGCTAGAGCAGGCAGAGTTCCGTTTCACTGCAGGGGCTAATACTCTGTCAGCCGCATAACCTTCTTATTTAAAATGCCAGTTCTGGGGTGTGGCTGATGCACCTGCCCCCACCCCCTTTCTCTTCCTCTTTCTCCTCCTTACCTTCTCCCTATGTCCTTTTCCTCCTCCTCTTCACGTGGTGCTGGAAGCATGTCTCTCAGCTTTGAAAACGCTTTAACAATCAGGGGAGACCTTACTCTGGTGAGCACCGCCGGACGACACAAGAAAGACCTGAACGCTGGGTTGACATGTTTGCTGTTTCTCCGTCTGTAGTTGTTCTCTCGCCTTCATGAAGCGGGAAAAGAGTGAGTTTATGGGTCTGGATTTGGGAAAGCAGGTTGTTAGGTGGGTGAAAGATGGCTATTGCTTTCCAGTGAAAGGAGTTGCAAAGTCGACACATTGAGGCAGACCCCATCTCGACATGGTTTCTGCTCTTGTTAGGGACCCTCGCTCCCTGAGGCTGTGGACACTTTGTGGGGTGCTTTGGCCAGAGTGTCTTTTACCCCCTGGGTCCTCTCGTCACATCACCTATTTTAGACCCCGGAGATTGCATATTTGATTATTCACAGAGAAATGCAGAAGGGCTATGGACCTGGCTCAGGATTCAATGTAGAATGGATATAATTACTGACCTTTCCGAAATTAAAAGCGTAGCAAGGGAATACCATGAAGAACTTTAGAAGAGTTGGATACATTTGGAAGAAATGGATATATTCCTGGGAAGACGCAGAATTTACACAAGAAGAAATGGGAAATATGAATCGTCTCATTAAGCAGTATATAGTTGTTAATAGCTGAAGCCAAAACGGTATTAGAAGACTTCATGTGTGTGTTTTTAAAGCACTCCAAGGGCAGCATTCCATTCATTGTCATTGAGGGTTTTCCCCGTTATTTTCCATTTTTGAAGGGGTCACTGGGCCCTCAGGGGCCTTGTGGTTCAATTCGACCGTATCGCTCGATGTGGAAGATGGATATACATCTAGTCCGAATTGAAAGCGTTGCATCAGGAGATACCACAATGTCTTTAACTCAGATACTTGGAGTATTATGTGATCAAGACACATTTTCTTCTAGAGATAGATGCGCTTACTGGTTTCTGGAGATAAACCATATTCCATCCTGTTATTTCTCACTATCTGGGTTCACCTTTGTCAGTGACCTTTTAAGACCTGGATTTGGAGGTAGCTAGAGACTGAGGAGGAGAGACGCAAATGGATAAGAATGACAAGAAGAAAACCACATGGCTTGGCTTGATGCCGGCAGAGATCAGAACTTTGGGCGATGAGCAGTGTAGTGTTGGGGGGGCGAGCTGGTGAAGGTCTTCCCTGCCACATCTGGTCCCTGAAGGAGCAGGGAGGGCCTGTGCCAGGCTTGGGCACACTCCAGAAGCCAACTCTCAGTTCAGTGTTTTCCCCAGACTAGGAAGCTGTGTTTGTTGCATAAGATCCAGAAATACCAACATAAAAGTCATAAAAATACAAACATAGTTATTTGGGGATTTTCTACTTCCAACTCATGTTATGTCACATCCAGGTGTTTATAAAAATTTCTTTGGAGAGCTGAAGTTTCAGAACCCAATTGGAAACCAAATCAATGACTCTCATTTCTGAGCAAAAGGAAAGGGATAGCAAGCAATAGCAATAATAAATTGACAAGGGACTGTACTACAAGGGACATTTTTACTCACCTGTTAGGAACCCTGGTGGAGTAGTGTTGACAGCTGAAAGAAAGCAGTATTAAGTTTGTGCTCAGCACTTCCAGGTTCAATCCCAGAGCATCCCAACCCTGGACTTCAGTACTGCAGAGAACTGAATATCCAATGACTTTTCCTACCGTCACCACTTGCTCCATCATCTTGGCTACTATACACTAACCTTGATGACGATTATTTTCCTTCCTGAGTACCTGCTGCGTGTCAGTCACTATATTGCTAGATGAATTAATCTTTGCAGTGAGTGAGGTGATGATATACTTAGAGGTGGGGAGTGGTTGCTTATTTGGTTTAGGATTATGCTGCTAGAATGTGACACAGCAAGGTGTCAAATCAGCCCCCCCCCCCATTTTTACCGGGAGCTCTTACAGATATAGAAATCCATATTTCAGTTCGATCAAGCATGATTGTACAATTGCTACCACCATCCTTTTCCAAACGTTTTCTTTCTTCTGGCACTCTTTGATATCAACTCCGTTTTATCCTCACCCTCTCTCACCCTACCCCCCTAGAGCCCTTGTTATTATAGTAAATATTATTATTGTTATTCCTTTATTTTCTCCTATATCTTACACCACCCAATGTATCTGTTCACCTGCCATTCTCTTATTCATTCCTCTCGAGTGGGGTTATATGATAAACCAGTTTCCTCTGTGTCTAAAACCACTCTACTTTGACTATGCCTCTCTATATCCTTTTAGGAGCTAGATTAAGATAATTGATAACTGGTTTTTAAAAAGTTCCAGGAAGAAATGATAAGAGTCTAAAATTTGGAAACACTGATCAACTGACATATACACATGTTTATTTCCAAGTGTTGGCCAGGATGCAGTCAAGCACATTCTTAACCATAGTCTTTTGTTAGGACAGTAAATGGGTAAACATGGAGAGGAATCCTGCCATTAGCAGAAATGAGAATTTAGAGGCCTAGGTTCCCAAATTCTCTACATGGGCTTATGTCAAGGGCTCATCTTTAAAACCCTGTCATTGGCAGGGCAGAGAATACTTTCTCAATGGGTAGGCATTCCTTCTCATACAGCCCCTCACTACTCATTTGTGACTGACCTGCCTCTTTTAATGCTGGGATTTTGTTTTTCAGATGTAGGAGAACAAAGATCATGTGCTGAAAATCTATGCCAACATAACTGTACCCAATTAAACGAAGGAGGGTTTATCTGCACCTGTAGACCTGGGTTCAAACCAGGCACTGTGAACCGAAATTTATGTATAGGTAAAGTATATTGTTCCTTTTATATTCTCCATCCATCCATTCTTTTTCTTTTTTCTCTTTTGAAATCATGCTAATTCTCTTAATGAGATTAATATGTTCAAGAGTATCAATTGCTCTCCCCCTCTGTATACGTGCGTTCTTACCAGTGCCTGCTCTGGAGATGTTTGTGGAATTGATAGGAATTTTTAAAGGTCAGATTATTGGTGAGATGGCTGCTATTGTACCAGCAAGTCAGCTTATTAAAATAAATAAGTAAATACAAGTTGTACTTTCTTCATCGTATGCCAAGCATCACATATGTATTACATAGCCATTTAAGTCAGACAAATGATGAGATTGATTTTAGTTGTTTAATTATTTGGGGATTTTCTACTTCCAACTCATGTTATGTCACATCCACATGTTTATAAAAATTTCTTTGGAGAGATGAAGTTTCAGAACTCAATTGGAAACCAAATCAATGACTCATTTCTGAGCAAAAGGAAAGGGATAGCAAGCAATAACAATAACAAACTGACAAGGGACTGTACTACAAGGGACATTTTTACTTGCCTATTAGGAACCCTGGTGGAGTAGTGTTATGCATCACAAGGTCAGCAGTTCTAAACCACCAGCCATCTCCAAGGGAGAAAGACAAGGGGCGTTCTCCCCTGCCCTGTGGGGCCACTCCGAGTCAGAATGGACTCAGGGACATTTGCTGTTGTTTGAGGTGGAGCAGATTCGGGGCTTTATTTTGAACCCGTGTCTGTCACTCATTAGCTTTGGACACTCCATCAGTCTATGCCTCGTGGACTGTTTTTGGAAGGTTAAATGGAAAATAGTTCAAAAACCACCGTGTGCCACAACAGCTGAAACTTAGTAGGTGTGCCACGGAGGTTGGCGCTTGCCCCTGCTTTCCGCTATGCTCTTTGCGGTCCTCTTGGTGAGTGTGAATTCAAACAGACACAGGGTCTGTGGGAGCAGAGGTGCCATTTTGATTTATTCTGCCTACAGACATCGACGAGTGTGACCAGTTTGGGACGTGTCCCCAGGAGTGCCACAACACCAAAGGCAGTTACGAGTGTGCATGTGCAGAGGGATTCACGTCTATGGGTGAACACTTCGGCCAGCGTTGTGAAGCCGAAGGTTTGACGGTGTCCTGTTGGGGTCCATTGATTTTGGGGGGAGGAGTAAGGAATACATTGTAACCTTATTCTAGTATCTGAGAATCAGACCTGATATAAAGCAGCCCTGAGCACTACCCAAAAAACACAAGCGAAAGAATATGTTATAAGCGTAATGTATCCAGAAGTTGGATTTAAATCAGTACACCTCGTTTAGGAGTACAGTTCAGTATGATTTACAGATTAGGAGTTTGTGCTACAGGTTAAGGGACTTCATAAGAAATCGCGGTTTTATTTTGCAAGTTAAGGTGCAATGATGGCTCAGTATCTTCAAACAAAAGGAGTTCTTAATGCATACATATTGCTCACCAGGCTTACAGGGTTTGTCCTTCAAGCCTTTTTGATGCTAATGAAAACGAGGGCGACAGCATTTGTATAGTTCGTTTGGTAATTAAGTACCAAATTAAAAATGTTTTAATCTTTGAATTGAGGAGAATAAATTAGAATGGTCCAGAGAAAGGTCCTAAATAATGAACTGTTACAAAGTTACTTGAATTTGATTCGATTGACATTATTCAAGTAAATGAAATTTTAAAATTTCAAGCCGTGAATCTTGAGATTCATTAGCAATGAAATAGTGGCTTTAGATAAAAATCAAGAGCAAGCAGTATTTTCCTCCCTCTTTTTTTCTTTCCCTCATTAGCTAGAGGCTCAATCAAGGTATAGAGCTTATTAAGCTTTAAAAATCTACCAGTAAAGTGTAAGGAATGAGAACTTACTAGTAGATTTTTAGAAGGAGACTGATGGCCCTGGTGGATAAGCACTTGATGGCTAAGCACAAGGACATAGGTTCAAACCCACCAGCCATTCTGCTGGAGAAGGATGAGACTGTCTGTTCCCATAAAGATCCCTAGTCTCAGACACCCTGAATAGGGTCACTATGAGCTGGAATGAACTTGATAGTAGCGGGTTTGTTTTTGTTTTTTGTTTTATTAAACATTTTTTTTCTCCCGTGAGAGATGGGATGTCTACATATTGCCTGTTTAATGGTAATAGAGTAAGGAATAAAAATCAATGAAACTGAGGTCATTATATTAGTAAATGGGGGGAAAATTCCTTCTTTGTCTTACCTCACTCCAAACCTCTTTCTGAGTAGAGAACCAAGAATAAAGAAGTGATCATACACCTCAAAAACGATGCCAAGTTCTTCCCCTGAAGTAGAGATAACAGGCAAGGTCATCGATTTTGCAACCAGGTTGGGTAGTCAGCTCTGGTGATTAGCAAAGAGGCAGATTACTCCAAAGTTTTGTGAATTAGGTACCTGCTATGCATTGTTGACAGTACTGGATATGAAAAGGCTCCCTTAGAATGCAAAACCGTAATGCAGCTCTTCATGTATTGACAGGAAACCCTCCTCTGTTACTACTGCCTGACAACATTAGAATTCGAAAATATAATCTCTCCTCTGAAAAGTTCTCCGACTACCTGGAAGATGAGCACATTCAAGCCCTTGACTATGACTGGGATCACGAGGGCACAGGCCTCAGTGAGTACACACCTGGACGTCTGTCATTGGTAGTCATTGAATTAATTACATTTTAGGTGTTGGATTCGATGGACCTTAAATTGTAGGGAGTGGATTTTGTTGTGTCACTAGAAGATGAAGCTCATCTCTCCAGCTTGTTCCTAACACCTCTTACGACCTTTCATCCCAGCCAATCTTTCTTGACTTCTCGCCAAATCTCGTCCTCCACCACTGGAGATTATCTCTATAGGACCACCTCACGCCCCCTTTTCTTACTGTTTCATTGTCTTTGCTTAGGAAGATGCTGTTCTGTGCTGCTATTGCGCTCTTAGGACATTTCTACTGGGACTTCAAAGATGCCACTCCAATGCCATCTCCTGTAATGCCTTCTCTCATTGTTCCCTGATTACACACACCTGAGCCCGTAGTATTTCACACCTACCTTTACTGGTGTTCCAGCGGGTTACACGTTGAGCTGCAAATCTACCAGCCACTTCTCCGTGGGTAGGGGTGGGGGTAATGGGGACCCGGCTCTCATAAAATCTCAGAAACCCAAACGGGCAGTTCTACTCTGTCCAAAACGGTCACTAGGAGATGGAAAAGACTCGATGGCAGTCTTCCAAAGGGAGGCTACTAACCAGGAGATTGGCGCTTTAAACCCGCCAGCTGTTCAGATAAGGCGGTCAAGCTCAGCAACCCTGTGAGTCGTAATTGACTTAATGGCAGTGGGTTAACTGAAGCCAAGGAATCCTGGTTGCCAAGGTTGGCAGTTCAAATCCATTAGCTCCTTTGGAGAGAGATGAGGCTGTTGGCTCCCAGGAAGGTTTACAGTCTCAGGAACACCGTATGTTGGTTTCTGTGAGTGGGTGTTGACCCTACTGCAGTGGGTTTGGGTTTGGGTGGGTTTTATGGAGCAGGAGTTACATTGGGTCATCACAGTGAATCCATGGAAGAAGATGCTTTGGAATCCAGGACGGATGTTGAGAGTGGCAATACCAGGAGGGTCAGGGGAAGGTGGGGGAAGAAAGGGGGATCATTGTGATAATGATCTACATATAACCCTCTCCCAGGGGGAGGGACAACAGAAAAGTAGGTGAAGGGAGACACTGGTCCGTGTAAGACATGAAAAAAAAATTTATAATTGATCAAGGGTTCATGAGGGAGGGAGGAGTGGGGGAGGGAGGGAAACAAGATGAGGAGCTGATTCTAGGGGCTCAGGTGGAAAGAGAATGTTTTGAAAATGATGATGACGGCAGATGTGCAAATGTGCTTGATACAATGAATGTATGCATGGATTGTGATAAGAGTTGTACAAAACCCCAATAAAACGATTAAAAAAAAGATGCTTCAAAAAGTTTGCGGAAAAATAAAATGAAAAGACAATGGAATATTTTCATGAACTCTTTGAATCCCCCTTGTGCTTTTCTCCCAATCTACCCTTTGGATACAGAGAGTGAATCCAGCTCATCTCTGTGCACCCCTATTAACATCTAAGATAGTGTCGGGATAGATGTTCAGGAAAATTCATTGCGTGAGTGACATGCCTGCTGTGACGTCTCTCAGGAGTAATGTCTGGAGCCCCCAAACTTAGCCCTCTGCCACTGAGTCAATTCTGATTCCTGGAGACCGTGTATAGAGTGTCTGAGACGGTCCATCTGCAGGAACACAGGGCCTTCCCTTTCTCCCCGGGGTCAGCAGGGAGAGGTGAGTCAGTGTGACCTTGGGGGCAGAAAGCACCCCTCCTGTGCCCTCCACCTCAGCTACTCGCTTTATGGTCTAAATGCTTCTGAAGATCTCATATTTTCACCTATAAAATAAGTATAGTGATTTCATTCTGCCTTCCTACCTCTGAGACTGACTATGCCAGTGTAAGATTTATGATTGCAATTTCACACTTAGTTATGCAGTACAAGGAGCCTTTTAAGAGTGGTGCCTGCAGCAGGCGCTCAGAACATATCTTAAAAATCCTGAAAACAAAAAATCCTGGTCCTTCTATGTCTTTTACATGCATGCCTACCTTCTACTACCCTTTAGTTTGCACATTAGCTGAACGCCTCACTTACATGGCGCTTTTATCGCTCAGAACAGCCTGGCCCTGGTGTATCTACATAGTCAGCCCAGACTACAGCTTAGCACTAGCATGTGAGAGTGAATAGGCTCTGCTTGAAATAGTAGGGAGTGTCACAAAGTTCATGGAAATATGCCATTTTTCTTTGTTAGGATTCTCAGACACTGTGAGCAAGTGAAAATGTCGATTATGAGCCTTACTCACCTAGAGTTCCCTTAACAGAGGCTTTTTAAAATGTAATTTAAAAAAGTTTTTTTGCTGTTTGATCCGAAACAGTGTACATTCTAACATGTACATACCTCACTCAGTGGTAGAATTCAGATAATTTTACAACTGGCTCACTGCCATAATGACCATCTTAAGAATAAGAAAGTGATGTACTCAAAGGTTGCTTTATTATTTCATACAGTTCATACTTAAATAAGAACAGTAAAAGAAGTAAACAAAACTGAGGTATGTTTTATGAAAGAGTTTTAAAATATTAATGAAAACATATTAAATAATATCTGACAAAAACCAGTAACTATTATTTAAGGTATTTCTCTATTGCTTCTTGATTGCCTTCCTCACTTGCAATCTTCTTTGCTTTCATCGAGCCTCATCTGCGGTGTGATTAATCCCTAACCCTCTTTTCCCTGTAGGAGCAGGATCCCATTCCTCCAGAGGCCGACCCAAAGGCAGTCGTCCTTGGGTCGATAGATTAGAAGCAGGCGACTTCTGGAATTCATTGTGTTCATCTTTGCAAAACCCCTTTCTGCTTCTGCTGAGTTTGTAGCAATTTTTCTGACAATATTTTTAGCTCTTGGAACACTTTTAGTAATTGCATGATTCACTCGTGGGAACTTGGGGCTTCTCACGAAGCTGAAACGAATGACAGCATGTCACCCTCTGGTTGTCTGACACTTTTTCTCTTTAGGTTATGTTTGTTTTCTGACGTAACACACGCAAGGGAATAAAAACGTAGTATTTCATCAAGAGTATAACGAGTTTATAAGTATTACAAGCATAGCTCTGTCATTTTTGTACGTATGGGTAGAATGAACATTACTGCAGTGCTTCCAGTATCTGTTGTGCAGATGATCGTTCGCAAAAGGAGCAAGGAATGTAAGTTTGTGACTTCCACATTTAGAGAGAGCCCTGGTTACAAGTGCCATTTTAACAACCGGTTCACTGAACTCAACCGAAAATTAGGCTTCGTTCCTGCTGAACCGGTAAGAGCCAGCTGAATCTTACTGCTGGCGTCACCAGTGTTACTATTCTCCCTAGAGACCCGTCTGGTATTGGGCTGACCAGGGAGCCATGAGGGTAGTTCATTTCCAGACCTGAAGGGGGACTAAGAACGGTAGTCCTGGGTCTGTTTTCTCCAGTTTGGGAGTCCACTGATCTCTAGCTGAGCAATAAGTCTACTTTCTTTATGACTGTGCATTTTAGTCCACATTTTTCTCCCACTCTTTTGAGGACTTTAAAAAAAATTTTTATTGGGGGCTCATACCACTTTTATCACAATCCATGCATCCATCCATGTGTCAAGCACATTTGTACATTTGTTGCCATCTTCATTTTCACAACATTTTCTTTCTACTTGAGACCTTGGTATCAGCTCCTTATTTTTTCCCCTCCCTCTCTTACCCTCTCTCCCCCACCTTCCTTCCCTCCCTCCCTCCCTCCCTCCCTCCCTCCCTCCCTCATGAACTCTTGATAATTTATAAATTATTATGATTCTTTCATGTCTTACACTGACTGGTGTCTCCTTTCACCCACTTTTCTGTTGCCCATCCCCCTGGGAGGTGGGTATATGTAGATCATTGTGATCGGTTCCCCCTTTCTTCCCCCACTTTCCCCTCACCCTCAATATAGGTCCTGAGGGGTTTATAGGTCCTGGATTCTCTGTTTTTCCAGCTCGTATCTGTACCCGTGTACATGCTCTGGTCTAGCCGGATTTGTAAGGTAGAATTGGGGTCATGCTAATGGGGGTTGGGGGGGCATTCAAGAACTAGAAGAAAGCTGTATGTTTCAATGGTGCTACACTGCACCCTGACTGACTCGTCTCTTCCTTGTGACCCTTCCATAAGGAGATGTCCAAATGTTTACGGATGGGCTTTGGGTCTCCACTCCACAGCCCCCCTCATTCACACTGATGTGATTGTTTCCCAGGACTTTCTAATGTGGTCTCTTCCGGAGCGGTTGGTAGTGGCAACCAGGCACTAGAGTTCTAATCTCAGAGTCATGGAGACTGAGGTTCCTGTGTCCATTAGTTCATTGGGCTGATAGTTTCCGTGTGTCTTTAATTTTCATCACTTTCCTTTCCTCCAAACAGGAAAAGACCAGAAATTGTACTTTAGATGACTGCTCAAGAGATTTTAAGACCCCCGTCACTGCTAACTAAAGTGGGATGTGAACACTGCCTTCTCGGTGAACGCTGTCATGCTAATTGACCTTGGTGTCACCGGGAATAGCAGATTTCTTTTTAAACCAGCTTTATTGGGATAGAATCCCCACATAATACAATAGTTCAATCATATCAAAAAGAGTTGTACGATTCGTCAACCACAATTAATGATCGAACATTTCCTACTTTCCCGCCTCCTTGTTATTAGCTCCCCATTTCTCCCCAACCTCCCCTGCCAGACCCCCAAGAAACCATTATCCAGGGACTGTCCCTACAGATTCACCCATGCTGGAATTCATATACACACACACACAAAAGCTAACAATAACAAAATAAAATAGAGAAAAACCTCAATTGAAAAGGAAGCAAAAAAATATAGCAACTTTAAAATGGGCCAAAGGGGAGATCAAATGATCAGGTGTTAAATTTTAGCCTAACTACTTTTGCCATAATCCACTTTCCAAAGCACACTAGCAGACGTTCTTCATATGAAACTGACCCACGTGTTTCGCCTTCGCAGGTGTGGTGTACTACTCTGTGCTAGGGGAGGGCTCTGATTTTGGTTCCATCAAACGCACGTACATCCTGAATGCTGAAACCGGGGGCAATAATCTGGTGCAGAAAGTGGACCTGAACCTGAGATACATAGTGCAGCCAGATGGATTAGCCGTGGACTGGGTTGGAAGGTACGTCTACCACCCTCTTGCCTGTTTTTATTTTCCTCACCAGTGCTCCTTGCCTTTCTCCACGGCACTTCCGTTATAGCTGGGTCCAGATAGCAACACAGTCAGCCCCTCCTGCCTCTGAGTGATTCACAGGCTGGCGTCAACTCCAGCCACCAGGACTCCAGGGTGGCCTCTAAACAGTATTATTTCCCGCCTTCTGTGTGTGCCATGGAAAAGTTTGGGAAATCACCAACCTGTTGATCAGGCTGTGTAGACTGAACCAGTTGGAAATTTGACTCCTGTTTAATATTTGAATTTGAGTAACTAGCGATGTGAGTTCTCTTCTACTCTAGAAAACTTCTAGACTCCCAGGGGCCACACCCACAATTTTGGATGAGCTTAAGAGTAGGAACCTTCCATAGGATTGTCGTCAGATAGATGGATAAGATCGCAAACTGCGGTGGAGACATCACGAAGCCGCTTCTTCGAGGAAGTGCTTTCTGTTGGAGCGGCATTTCTAAGCAAGTGACTTCCCTGGAGTGGGAGCGGAAGCCTCCCCAGAAACCCACATGCTCTTGACAATGAACCAACGATAGAAAATGGTTGAGACAGAGCAAATTTTAGAGACTCACCGCTGTCCCGGAGAATGGAAAGTCATTTGCAGTAGAAATTAATTTTCACCTTATAACAAACTTGTCTGGTGTTTCTGAAAGACGCGCACATTTCTGAAGAAGTTAATTAGGTCCCCACTGTGCCTTCAGGCCCAAAGGAGGCGCATTTTAGCATCTCTTGCCAGAAAGCCGGGCCTCAGAGTCGGGAACTTCAGCTTCAACATTTTCTTTTGAAAGTCAGCCAAGCAGTGGCAGACCTGCCTTCTTGTTGGAAGCTTCGCCTCTTTTTGAGCCTGAATCAGTTATTGAACAAAGAGACACCTGGGACTGTTTCTGCTCATGAAAGCCGAGAGCTGCAGCCTGACCATTTCCTCTCCTCTCTGGAGGCGATTCCAGATTTCTCTTGCTGACAGCAGGCCCTGGCTGAAAGAGGAAGCGCAGGTTCTTCATGACTTCTCCCTGGAAGCGCATGCTTCAGAATCCTACAGATGTGAGCTGTGTCCACCATCAAGACGGGTCCTAGAGGGAGGGTTCAGCTGGGTTGGTAGTTCCCTGGCTGAAGAAATTGGGGCATTCCTGAGGGGGGACTATATGTGATGGTCATGCGTCTCCAAGACGCCATCTTGCCAGCTAGAATTTCCAAACGAAATGATCTTGTCTTCAAACTTCATCCTCAGGAGCGGCCAGTCTAACCTTTTCCATGATTGCACTTTGTCCCGCCACATTCAGGCATATTTACTGGTCAGATGCCAGGACTCAACGGATCGAGGTGGCTAAGCTCGACGGAAGGTACAGAAAGTGGCTGATCACCTCTCAACTGGATCAACCTGCTGCAATTGCTGTGAATCCCAAACTAGGGTGAGTATGCAAAAGATTCTTGGGTTCCAGATATTTGCCAGTGGATTCCCGTAAAAATACTTGTCTTTGGCTATTTCTTTTTTTTGTAAATGCACTGAAATAATCCTTTGGCTGTAAAAACAACCACACTTCAGGTGTTCTTACAGTGTGCCCGCTACTATGCAAAGTAGTCCATGGATATAGGCGGGGACTTCAGAAAGTTCGTGGAAAAATTCTTTTATCTTTTAATTTCCATTTTTCAGGAATTTTTTTGAAGACCCCCTCATAGGAATAATTTAAATCCTAAAAAATTCTTATGAATTAGGCAAAACTTTTTATCTCTTGTTCAGGCATATGGCTACAATAATAGGTTGCTTTATTCAGCAACTGCTGGCTTTAATATAAGGGAGAAAAGGATGCCACAGGAACCAATCAGAAGGCTGAAGGAGGAGGTATCTTATTGGCAGAATGAACAGATAATGGAGGAAGAGCAGCACTGACCTGAGGACAGGACAGAGGCATTGAAGCAGGAAACAGGGAGGAGGTGGGATAAGAGATGGTCCATTGAGGGGGTGGCAATGGATGGGTTGAAACAAAATAGGTATGAACTATTGAATGGGCTACTGTAGACCTTCGCCTAATTCACAATAAAATGTTTCTTAAAAGAGAGAATGGAATTTTTCCCAAACGTTTTGAAGCTTCACCTCATATATTAACTTTAAAAAACCCCACCTTTGTTTGGATCTAATTGATATGCCATAAAATCCACTCTTAAGCATATGATTCAGTGGCTTTTCCATTCAGAGTTGTGTAATCTGCCCCACATTCAGTCTTGGAAATTCCATCACCCTAGAAAGATATCTTGAACCATGTAGCTGCCACGCTCTAGTTGTTTTCTGCCGTGAATAACCGAAGGAGCTATTAACACCAGGTAGGCCTGCATTCCTCAATGCAGTTTTGGCTGGAACTGGGTAAGGCCCACCTTACTCTCCCCATCTCTCTGCTCTACACGTTTATCTCAGCTGCCTGGTCCAGCTCCTCATCTAGCTGATTCCTGAATGTCAGGCTTTGCTTGGTTAGGCTGTTTGATACCAAGCAGCCCTACCAGTCTGCTGCCATTTAACTGATTCCAACTCAGAGCAAACCTATGGGTTTTCAAGAGCATCGGTCTTTTTTCCCCCCAGAATTAAATGCTTCAGGTTTTATTTATTATGTTATTGTCAAATATTGATATTTATACAATCCTCTATGATTTGCTGTCTATAGGTATTAGAAAGTGTATAACTTTCAAGTGTATATGTGATTCACTTTTTTTCTTCTATTTTGCATCCACCCCCACCCCCCAAGTCCCCTCACTTTTTTTTTTTTTAAAGAGAGTGGGCAGACTCATATTTCTTCCTTGGCTGGTGGTATTAGCTAGATGCAAAAGACAGGTTATAAGTGCCCATCGGTGAAAAAATGTTAAATAAATGTTAACATTAATAAATAATAATCATAAATTATTAATAAACACAATGGAATACTACGCGACATTAAAGAATAAAAATAAATTACGGAAATACATCCTGACGTGGGTGAACCTGGAAGACATTATGCTGAGTGAAATTAGTTCGTCACAAGAGAACAAATATTGTATCGCCATTGTTATAAAAAAAATCAAGAAAAGGGTTTCACACTAAACAAAACATGCTTTGATGGAAGGGGGGTAGGAATAGACAGGTGTTAACTGGGTGAAGGAGCAGATAATATTTAATAAGAGAGAGATGGGAAAAAAGCAATGGAAAAGGGCAAGACCTTGAGAAGTCTGATCTGCTCTGTGAACTCTCGCATAATTCACATTAAAACATTTAAAAGCATGAGAACATAAGCTCTGTGAAGACAGGCATGGTCTCATTCTCCAACTGACCTCAGATTGCGTCCGTCTGACACAGGAGGCAAGCAATACAATGTGACTGAGGAATAGGCAGCTCTTGTCAGGGTCTGTTTTCAGAGTCTGAATTTTCAGTCATTTAGACAATTAGGGAGTGCGATTTTGGGGAAGGAGTGCTCACAGATATGTTAGCGTTCCCTTCGGTCTCCCCATCTTCCATAAAGTTTAAAAACAGTGCCGCTTAGCAGCCAGGTCCCTGTGAGAAACAGCAGGTGCTACAATGAAGAGCTCTTCTGTTGCAGGCTAATGTACTGGACGGACTGGGGGAAAGAGCCCAAAATTGAGCGGTCCTGGATGGATGGGCAGTATCGGCAAGTCCTGATTTCTGACGACCTTGGTTGGCCAACCGGCCTTTCTATTGATTATTTGAACAACGACCGGATCTACTGGAGCGACTTAAAGGAGAATGTTGTTGGATCCATAAATCATGATGGAACTGATCGCAGACTCATCTCAAATGAAGGTTAGCAGAGTTCGAAGTTGATGGGCTTCCCATCTCTTTGCTCATTGTTTAAAGAAGGACACTGGCGTTTATATAAAGTTTCTTAGCTACCCCTCAGTTCTTCCTTGCTGACTCAACTGCAAATGAATTCACTAGTAAGACTTATGATCTTTTTGTCTTTTAAAAATCATATTCTTGAAAATCTATTCTCCACAGAAAAATAATTGAGTTTCCTGGTGGGCTGTTTGATAGGTGTTTTTTCACAAATGGTAATCCACGTACAACAGCCCTGTCTAGATGCGGTTGATGTTAGTGCCCTTCATTGCCATACGTACAAGAGGTGACATTGAGAGAGAAAAGGGCACTTGGTTTCCTTAACAAACCCTTGTAGAGCTACGACCAAAGCACCTACCACTTTTTTGTTTCCTACCTGACCAATAAGTAGTGCAGAAGGAGAGAGAAATCTCTGCTATGTGAGCTGTGTTTTACAAGTAAGATATATTGAACTAAATCTGTTGCTGTCACATTGATTCTGACGCATAGGCTCCCGATTGGACACAGTAGAACTTCCCCATGAGGCGGTCAGTCTTTGAGGAAGGTGATTGGTGGATTTAAACTGCTAACCTCTCAATTAGCAGTTGAGTGCCTAACTGCTACATCCTCAGGGCTCCTGAACACGAACTCAACAAGAAACAAACAAAAAAGCCAATGCAGTTGCCATGTAATTAATTTTTGGGGGGAGTAGAAAACCCCATTTCTGCCCCTCAGAGCAGTTGGTGGTTTTGAATTGCTGATCTTGTGGTGAGCAGCCCAACGCATAACCACTATGCCACCAGGTCTTCAGGTGCATCTGTCTAGTTTGGCTTTTATCATCGTGATCGTCCAGCGCAGGGCCCTCTCATGGCCACATGTACTGAAAGCTGAGTTCTCTGATGACAGTCCACCAGAATGTTCGGGAATGTATTAGATGCTACAGTAGAGAATTCAAGCAAAAACGATGCTGGGGAGTTCTCTTTTAAACAACTTTGCCTGGTTTTATTTTTTCCCCATGGGTAAGCAGTAAGGAGCCCGTATAGCCTGGATGTCTTTGAAGGCCAGATCTACTGGACATCTAAGGAGAGAGGAGAAGTGTGGAAGGAAGATAAATTTGGAAATGGAGAGCGAGTGAAGGTGCTGACCGTGAGCCCTTGGCTCACTCAAGTGCGAGTCTTCCACCAACGCAGATACAATCAGTCAGGTAAACACCTTGCAACAAGATGTTCCTTGTTATCTGGAAACGTTCCTTATTTCAAATGAATGCCTGCAGCATTGGAGGATGGGAATGGCGAATAATAGACCCACCTCTTGGTGCACGCAGAGGTGTATGTGTTAACCATGTGGGCCAGACAGAGATGAAATCGAATGCCAAAGAGAAGTATGCAGACCACTAGAGGGTCCGAGGTTAAGATATGTTTGTGCTCTTCTATAGTTTCTCATTATAAATGTCCCGGGTAGACTGTAGAATGAGCATTGCCAGTGAGTTCCCAAGTGAACTTGATGCTGCTGGTTCAGGGACCACACTTTGAGAACCACTCTTGCTACTCAAGAGTCTGGACTGTGGGCCAGCATCATTCCTGTGGGGGCTGATTCGAAAGACAGATTCTCAAACCCGCCTCAGGCCTCTTGAGTCAGAATCTGAATGTTAGCAAGATTTCCCAGGTAATGTGTGTGCAGATTAAAGCTTGAGAAGCTCTGTCCTAGAAGGTTTAAGAGAAATGTCGATGGGACTGGCTTTAAATGAGACCTTTGCAATATGTCTTATTAGTTTTATAGCCGAGCGTCAAATCCAGACACGACTAGAATCACTTGAAGAGCTTTTAACGACAGTGTTTGAACTCCATCCCAGACCAATTTATATACGAGCATCTTAGAGTAGATGGCCATCTATGTAACCAGCTCCCTAGATGATTCTGACACATAGCCACAGTTGGAAATCATACCTCTAAATTCTCTTGTCTTCCCTATAATATCACCAAAGTCCAGAAGAAAGCTCCCCTTGGTAGATTAGGGTGGAAGTCACACCTGGATTGCACCTTCACATATATCAGGGTTTAACCTAGTTTGGGTCATAACAAATCTTGAAAAAATAATGGGCTCTTTTAAGCCATCTCAAGTTGCTTTAGTTCTGATTCGTTTGGGGAGTTTTGCTATGAGCCCACTAGATGCAGAAACAACCATCAGTGAGAGTAATAGAAAAGGTGGCTGGGTGTGGCCATGGGACAGGCCGCACAGGCAGCCCGGTGCCACTGGGTTCGGCTGGAGAAGACAGTAGGGTAAGTGAGGATGAGTAGTCAGGTGGCACATGGCCTAGGGGTGATGGAATGCTCCCTGGTCTCTGCCACCACTTGGCAGCATCACAATGCAGTTGACAGACATATCCTAGGATGACGTTTTCACTCTTCTCTCAGGACGTAACCTCATTAATGCCTGCTCCCATCTGCTTTCCAGTGCCCAATCCCTGTAACGATGTCTGCAGTCACCTCTGCCTACTGACACCTGGAGGATACAGCTGTGCCTGTCCTGAAGGCTCCCACTTCATGCAAGGGAGCAACACTCAGTGTGACGCAGGTAGGGCAATGTCTGGGTGTCATGGGAAAGCTTGTCTGTCTGTGTGTGGCCTTCTGTAGTGGTCCCTGGGTGCTAAGTACTTTGATAGGATGAGGATGGATGGTAGATTTAATTCAATAATAAAATGAGGACGGATATGAATGTACTAGCATTCATCATCCAAAAGGACATTTTCAAGATCTGTCTTGAAGTACCATGCTGTCTGTGATAGAATTAAATCTATCCACATTTAAGGAAATCCAATCAATACAGCTCTTACTCACATATATGTACCAGCCATGGAAGTTAGCCACGAGGAAGTGAAAGAATTCTATCAACATCTTCAGTCACCATATATGGTGAAAACGAAAGCAGCATAAAGCAGGTGGGAGGTGCTGGGGCGGGGTGGGAGGCAAGGTGTCCAGGGAAAGCCTTTCTGATAAAGTCAAGTTTAAATGGAGACCCAGATGGAGGGTCTGAACCAGGACTGTGCAAACTCCTCATATCAAGGCCAATGAGCATCTTCCAGGCAGTGGTCCATCTAGGTCCTGGCACTTCCAGAGCTGAACTGGAAGCAAGGCCCAGGGTAAGGGCAGTGTGGGAGTTCATCATCTATCTAGCCGTGCCGTGTGGATCTACCTGAAGGTGTGTTGACCAGCCCCTCTTGCTTTCCATCCTTTGGTTGACGTTCTAAGCTGAGCCTCGCTCAGACCCGACTTCCACTGGGTTCAGCGAGGAGAGTTCTGAAAACTTCAAATGAAAATGCAAACAGCCTAAGAAATTCCTTTACTGCCAAGTTCTTTTTAAAACTCATCATAACTGCTCTGGAATCTAGCCCTCTCTCTCATTTTGGGGGCAAAATGATGTCATGCTGCCCCCCCCAAATATATTACTCTCCAAGACCATATTCTCGATAAAGAATTTGTTTACCTAAGAAGATAAGGTTGTGATTGGGGTTCCCCTACCACCTCTGGCCCAGAGGCAGGTTTTCATGGGGTGGAGTGCTCTGCTGACTGTGACCCCCTAACCCAGGCCTGGCTTTCCCTTCCTGCAGCCATCGAGTCTCCTGTCACCATGCCCCCCGCATGCAGGTGCATGTATGGAGGAACGTGCTATTTCGATGAGAATAATCTCCCCAAATGCAAGTAAGTCTGGCATGTTGAGATCGGAGCTGTAAACCGTGCCCCTCGTGGAGGAAGTTTAGACATCCAGCCAGCCACCTTAGCAGTTCACTCGTTCTCATATTTCAGCATCCACAGAGAGCTAAGGCGATTCTTCTCAAACTGTAAGGGGTGTCAGGATCAGCCGGTCCCTTGTCCAAGCATCAGTTCTCCAGCCCAGGGATGGTGTGTTCCTAACAGGCTCCTGGGTGATGTCGCAGGGAGTCGAGTCGTAGAGGTGAAAGCGGCGTGTTCCTGCTCACCTGGGACTATGGATTGCAGCACGGGTCATGGGAAAACAGCTGGCAGCAAGCCTGCTTTAGTACCAGATGCTTATGAGGTAGAGAAAGGCCGGGCTACTGACTTGGAGGGAAGAAGATTCTTGAGAAAGAGGCACGAGATATAGATGTCTTTAAATGAGATATAAGGAGAGCGTATCAGACCAGAATATGATCATGGTCTCCATTTTTCTCTTAAGAAAGATTCGCGTGGTTAGAGAAGAAATCAAAAGGTCTATCCACCCTGTGGATGCCCCTGTACCCTGGACACTGCCACGCCATTCTGCCTGTCATCTCAGCAGGAGAAATAAAAGTCCCACACTGGGCACACTGGGCAACATGTCATTTACTGAAGCAAAGCTTGTTTCATCTCAGGGTGTGTTTATAAAATGCAATCAGAGCCCAGGACGGGAGGGTAAATGATTCCCCCTTTCCTTTCAGGTGTCCTAGCGAGTACACTGGAAGCTACTGTGAAATAGGGTTTTCCAAAGGCATTCCTTCTGGGACAAGTAAGCTTTAAGAAGACGAGGCCCCTGAATTGAATGCTGCCATCTGCTCTATTTCACTCGGTCTTGGGAAGAGCATGGGACGCCTGGAGGGCTGGGGGGCCGGTGCAGTGGGCTATGAGTTGGACCCGGGAGAGAAAGATGAGATCTCGGGAACCCACCGGGGCAGTTCTACCCTGTCCTAGAGGGTCACTTGGAGTCCGCATGGACTTCGGAGCAGGGGGCTTGAAGAGCAGGCGGTCCCCGCCCACAGCTGCTGCTCTGCTGGCCCTCCCTGTCCACGTGTTGCATCCTGTGCCTCCCTCTTGGACAGGAGCCGTGGCGGCGCTGTTGACCGTCATCTTCCTCATCATCATGGGCGCATTGGCGATCGGAGGATTTTTCCACTACAGGAAAACCGGCTCCCTTTTACCTGCTCTGCCCAAGTTACCAAGGTCAGTTGATGATACAGAGCCAATGTGCTATGACCATGCTAATTACTTTGTTAATTGTTTTTAAGTTAAAGAAGAAATGACAGCACATGGGAAAATTGCAGAAACGGCAAATGTTTTCTTAATACTTAGCACCAAAAAAAAAAAGTTCCCATGCACACAGTTTACATCATCTGGTTAACCTCAAGAGTTCAGGAACACTAAGTTTCCGTTAACTGACATCCTTGGGTGGCACAAACGGCTTGCTCTCAGCTACCAGCCAGAGGGTTGGCAGTTCAAGCCCACCCACTGGCATCATGGAGGAACAGTCTGGTGATTCCAGCCGAGACTTCTGTGGTGCTCAGGTTTACACTCTGGCCTTGGGTTGGAATGGACTCTATGGTAATGCATTTCAAAGGTTTACACTCTGGCCTTGGGTTGGAATGGACTCTATGGTAATGCATTTCAAAGGTTTACACTCTGGCCTTGGGTTGGAATGGACTCCATGGTAATGCATTTCAAAGGTTTACACTCTGGCCTTGGGTTGGAATGGACTCCATGGTAATGCATTTCAAAGGTTTACACTCTGGCCTTGGGTTGGAATGGACTCTATGGTAATGCATTTCAAAGGAACCGCCTATCATATTTGATGTGTATAAATTCAGACTGGGAATCGAGCATTTTATGTAAGTAAGATTTATGGTGAAAGGGTGGTTTTAAAATAAGGGGAGCAGCGATACTAGGAGGTTAGTGGGGGGCGGGAGTAAGGGGAAACCGATCACAATGATCGACATATGGGCCCCATCCCAGGGGGATGAACAGGAGCAAAGTGGGTGAAATGAGACAGCAGTCGGTGTGAGACATGAAAAAAAAAGAATAATTTATAAATTACCAAGGGGACAGGGGGGAGGAAAGGTGGGGGAGGGAGGGGGAAAATGAGGAGCTGATGTCAGGGGCTCAAGTAGAAAGAAAATGTTTTTAAAATGATGACAACACATGTACAGATGCGTTTGACAAAATGGATATATGTATGGATTGTGGTAGGAGCCCCATATAAAATGATTTAAAAAAAATACCTGTTTTGTTTTCTCTCCTTCCTTCTAGCTTAAGTAGTCTGGTCAAATCCTCAGAACATGGAAACGGGGTGACCTTCAGATCAGGGACCGATGTTACCATGGATATTGGAGTGTCTGGTTTTGGGCCCGAGGCTGCTATTGAGCGACCAGTGGCGATGGTGAGTGTTTTCAGAACGATTATTTGAAGGGTAGGCCAGTTTGACTGTCGCACACACTAAACACTTTTTATTAAGACTGAGATTCACCTGTTGGTTGGAGAAATCCCCGACACCTCTCAGGATAAAGTCCACACTGTGGTGAAAGGTGGGAAATGGTAGGTTTTGATTCAGAATTCCCAGAGCAACATTAATAAAGAGATGGAGGCTGACACTCACTCTGAGATACGTACTGCTGTTGATGGGAGACTTGCACGGTCTTGGGGGCGGGGGTGGGTGGGTGGGCAGAACATGAGGTCTGACTTGTATCTGGCGACGTTATGTTTGCATGAAGGGAAGAGTGAGAAAAAAAGATCGTCCCGCACATCATGTATTATTTCACTGATGGTGGGAAAAACATGATTTTAGAGTCAGACTTCAGACTTTCTGGTTCAAATGCCACTTCCGTGTCTAACGCTGGGCGTGGCGCGTGCGCGCCCTCGCTCCCCCTGCCCGTCTGTAAAAGGAGCGCAAGAATCCCTCAGCGAGGGCCAGGTAGAGGAGCCCTTTAGGAGGAGGTGAGCACAGCTCCGACCCAGAGGGACTCTCTATACTGCATTCTGGAAAATAGCTTTCAGCATCCTCCCATTCCCTAACATTTTAATTTTTTGTCTCCCCACACATTACCCATTCGTCTTGGCCCCGCCCCCTCCATCTTGCTCTTCCTCCGCCAACCGCCCTTTCCTCCGTTTCCCGGGCTCTCCAGGTTCCGGTACCCGCGTGAGCTATTTGCACTAAAGGATTGGAGAGCATTCAGCGTAGGAAGAACGTTTCTGTTTTCTTGAGCCGACGAGTTAGTGTATTTGTTACTCTAAGTCATGATGTACCCTAGGAAGGACTTCTGTTTCTGCTGTTTTGGGGTGGGGAGGGAAGGCAGGTCTGCAGGACCTCATATTTTAAGTATATTTGGCCTACCCTCTAGCATGCTCCCAGGTGTGAGAACAGTGCAAACCAGACCAGCATGATGTGATCTCTGCCCCCACCCTCTCTTTTACCTATTAGAGTGAGCACTTTGTCATGGAGACGGGGAAGCAGCCCATCATCTTTGAAAACCCGATGTACTCAGCCAGAGACAGCGCTGTTAAAGCGGTCCAGCAGACACAGGTGAGCGAGCCTGCGTGCTTTCTTTCAGATGCTGCTGTTGTTGGCTTGCATTCTACCAAGCAGCGCCCTCTTCAGAACCTTCCTGACCGCCCTTCCGAATGAAGGGAGCGCAGAGGGCCATTTCTCAGTTTCACCATCTGCAGGGACAGGACTGACCTGACGTCGTACCCCCAATCACAGTCCTCGTTTGCTCAGCTGTTAAGTGTTGGCACTGCCCACTGCCCTTTTATTCGGAGTGGGTTCAGGGCAGAAGGTGTAAGCCCGTTCTCAGGCTCTCCATATATGAGTGGGCTTCCACAAGTTCATGGAAAAAACTCTAGATAATGTTTTAATGCCATTGTTGCATGAGCCCTTTGAAGCCCCCTCATCCATTTGTGAATGCAGTGAATGACTATTGGGCCACGCTGTTGAGATTCTTAGGCCTGGCTACACTGAGTTCATGCTGGTCTCTCCAGGATGTGGTTTGCAGTGGATCAAAGGGCGAGACAGGTGGTTGTCCTTGTTATGTTTGCTTTTCCCGTGCCTTTCTGAAGGGTGCCCATGTCTCTGCAGCGGACAGGTGGATATTTAAATTTCCTTTGGGCTGCCATAGTCAGCTATCCAAGGAGCTAGAGATGAGACAGAGACCTCTGGATCAAACTCGCTGCCACCAAGTCCCCTGACTCATAGGGCCCTTCCCGGACAGAGGAGAACTGCACTGTGGGTTTCCAAGGTGCTACATCTTCACGGGAGCAGCAAGCCTAGATTCTTTGGGACAGGCGGTGGCTTTGAAGTACTACATCCCAACTGGTGCCCTACTGCACCACCCGGGCTCCTCAGACACACGGAGGGAAGGAAAGAACTCTCCAATAGTTCTGGAGCAGTTGGCCCAGCACCACGTCCAGTGCCCGTCTGCTGCTCACCTGTTCCCCTCGGTGAGACAACTCCTCGTAGCGATGCACTCCTTCGTTGTCATCGCTGTATGGCTTCTGAACGCGTAGGCTGTGGGTACATTTTAAAACAAAATAGAAACGTTTAGTTTAGGAATCCACTGGCATCAAGTTGACGTCCACTCACAGCAACCTAATAGGGCTGGGTAGAATTGCCCCTGTGGGTTTATGAGAGTAGAAAGCCCCTCTTTCTCTCTTGGAGTGGCTAGTGGTTTCGAACTGCCGACTTTGCAGTTAGCGGCCCTACCAGTAACCACTACACCTCCAGGGCTCCTCATTTGATGAACAGGTTTCTTAAGATCAGAAGTATTTGAATCATGAATACATTTTGCCTGATTCTTTGATACTGAGTTTTTACATTTCCATTGATTCCCACTTCTACAGACTCTGTAGGTCAGAGTCAAGCAGCCCCATAGGGTTTCTAAGGCTGTAAATCTGTAGGCACTTGAGTGCTTTCACCACTGTGCTACGGGGGCACCTTGGATGTACAGGGAGCAAAACTTTAATCACACCGTTCAGCATTTTCACTCCGTATGTGACCAGGTATGCACACAGACTCAAATTGGAGACGTAATCGGGGGCTGTGCAAGTATAGGAACCAGAGTGACTTTCTGCACCATCGATTAACAGACACACCTCATTTTATGCCCTTCTTGGATAATGACCTGCATTTTGTTTTCTACTGAAGGGTCGTGCCACCCTACATCAGACACGAGGGTTGGGACCACTTTTCCCACAGCACGTACTCACGTCACGGCTCTGTCACCTTTGGGTAATTCTCACAGCATTCCGAACTGTGTCGTAGCATTATTGCACACTGACTACTAGGTTACAGTGTAGTGCAAACATGTGTTATGTCCGGAAATCGCCAAAACGTGTTGTGTGCCTCATTGTATTCCGATATTTGCGCTATTGTGGTGATCTGAGAGCAAAGCCACGCCGTCTCCCAGCTGTGCATGTGTGGATTCATGGTCATTTGGGCAAAAGGCCTGGTCATGGAATATCTGGAGAAGTATTTGATTTTGCCTGTCGTTTTATAAATTCAACTTACTTTAAGCAGTCCTCTGAAGTTACTAGTTTATTCCAAATATCCAATGATATGATTCTCATTTTACCAGTGAATTGGGGGAATTCTTTATGCTATCCTGCTGGCCAAGAAAGAACTAGTATCTCGTCTCCAGAACTACAATTCACTGTGGGGATAAGAGAAAAATGAGCACACACGGACATCGCTGTTACTAGGGGACAGTATATAGCTGCCTCCCAGGAGTAAGGTGTGAGGTGACTTAGTGATTGGTGTTCTTAAAAAAAAATTATTGTGAACTGAATGAAGGTTTACAGAGCAGATCATCAGCTTTAGATCCAACAATTCATACATATTTTGTTTCAACTCATCTACCGCGATTCCCTCAATGGACCATCGCTTACCCTACGCCCTCCCTGTGTTTCCTGTTTCTGTTCCTTTCTTTTCTCCCCTCTGCATTTTGTCCCTGGGTAAACGCTGCCCCTTTATCTTAAATGGTTGATAATTCAAAGATGCGTGTGCGGAAGGGTGTCCAGTCCTGCAGTACCAGGTCTGTCTCATACTGTCAGAATGGCACCTGGCCACGGCTGGGGGAGAACTGTGTGGTACATAACCAGCAGAGTTGATAAACCCTTTTACATCGCCAGGACTGAATTCTCTCCCCAAACCGGATAAAGATGTTCAATCTCTTCACAGGCGGCGGAATCTGGGAATGTGGTGAACGAGAATTATGGCAGTTCCGTCAACCCTTCTGAGTTAGTTCCGGAGGTAACAGAGACTCCCCGCGGTGCTAACGGCACTCAGGTAACAGGGACGGACTGGCGGGGCCGCGTGGCACGTGGGAAGAACTCTGCGATCGCGCATCTGGTGTCAGTCTTGGGCACACTGGGGAGAAGACCCGGCAGGCTCACAGAACCCAAACTGTAGGCAGTTAAGGAGAACAATTGAAAAACAAAACCATTTTATTGGCACTACCTCCACATTGCATACGTTTCGGTAGCTCAAGCATATCAAGAAGAAGGAAGAACACTTTCAAAGAAACGAAGCCAAACCCGCCGTTGACTCTATTCCGACTCCTGGGGTGCTGATGGGGCAGTAGAGCTCCCCCACAGGGCTTCTGAGGCTATGCGTCCTTCTAGAAGCAGACTGCTTCCTCCTTGTCCCAAGGGGCAGCTGGTGGGCTTGAACAGCCAACCTCCCAGCCAGCAGCCCAATGCATCACCCCATACACCACCAGGGATCCTTTGCTCTATAAGGTTTTACATGCAGTAAAGCGACATTCAAACAGTGGGGATAAAGCTCCTTTTGACGTTGGAGCCGATGTCCCAAAGGGCTGAAGGTGATACCAGGTCCAGGAAGCATGTAAGAGAACAAGTGTAAATGGAGGCTTCACTGTGCCGCGGGTACATAGTGAGATGCCCTCCCACCGGCGATGCCATTTTTCTAGCATACACAGTTCTCTTACTAGCGATGGTTTGTTTTATGGCTCTACTGATGCCGCTTCTATCGACCACTAGATGGCAGTGATGTACACGTTCATTATCGTCCATTCAACTCTCCATCCATTCATCAACCGATTGTCCAACCAGTGCCACTTTGCTAGGCTTAATTCTGGACATGGGGTGGGGGTGGGGTGGAGGTGGGGACGCACGAAGAAGACAACCACTAGAGGAGGCCGGGAATGTATCTTCAGGGAGAATTCTGTATATTCGCTTGATAGAGAACTCCTATCAGTAGAAAATCCATCACTAGTATTAATGGGTACATGTCCCGCTGCCCCAGACCTAACTTTTACTCTGGGCAAATCACTGGAGCCACGGGGACTATATGGGCATCTTTGGGGGATGGCTGTAGAAAACAGCCCTGTCTGCTGCAGGATGTTTTAGTATTCCCAATCCCGGCCACGAAGCGGGAATCGTGTTCTTGTCATTCCTCCTTCTCGCCCACAGCCCCAGAACACATGCATGCATTCCCAGGGGCTGGAAGTCTACGTTCGTTCCAAGGTGCTGGGACTCCCTCTTTGTAGTCTTATACAGGGACAGCGGTCTAGGGTAGCTAGAGATGGTCTCCTGTTGTACAATCTTATTTCTCAGACGATGGCATCTGTTGGTGTCATAAGCCAGTTCATCTTGGATTTATGACTTCGAAGCACCCCAGGCATTGGTTCTGTCCTGCTTGTTTGGATCGAAATTTCCACCAAACAAAAACCACAAATTGATGCTAATGAGCAATCTCCTCCTCCAAGGTCTCTTTGCCTTCTTTACTCTTTCTTCCCGGTTTCTCACTCCCGCCAGACACGCCACACCCACAGAGGCCTTAGAAAAGAACTCTCAGTTTCATATTTCTGAAGGGCCCGAACTCCTTTTAAGGAGCATTTTAAAAAACGTCCCCGGAAAGGATTTTGTGGGTTAATTTTTCCATAGGTGCTGACATGCGTGACGGTCCTCTGTTCATTCTCCCAAGTCAGACTCACCCCCAAGCCAGAGCCAGATTGACCGTCCAGTCTCCAGAGACTCTCTCGGTCCATTTCAAGCCTGATGATCGTTTCCACTAGACAAAGAGGTGCCCCGACGTGGGCAGGAAGGGGCATTGGGGGGCTGCTGTAACATCGACGCTACGTTCGTCAGCAGAAACAAGCTGAAGACCATGAAAGCCTTTCCCACGGGAAGGGACTTGTGCCAAGCGGAGTCCCTTGCTTTCTGGTCCTGCTCTCTGCAGTGCATCAGCCATTCCTCTAGGCCGAGCCCCTGCGTTTGCCCTCTGGGAGTTGTCTTTTGTTGGAGAGCACACCAGTGGAGCCTAAAGGCCACAGGGCCGTTTGGCTGACGTCAACCTGCCTGCCAAGGAGCCCCACATGTATCCTTCACCTATGGACAGGCCCCCAAACTCCACAAACACGACCGCTCAAGACTGCATTCCATCACTGCTCGAGTTAGTAACTAATTAACTCCAAGTCCCTGCTTTGTACTGAAGCAATGACGTGTGAGGGTTTCGACCTCCCAGAGGCCAGGGCTCTGACCCAAATGTCATTTCCCCTTGGTGACGCCACACACAGAATGGGCACTCACTTGGTGGCGGGTGAATTGTGAGGGAGGGGCCCCTTCTCTCGCTTTGCCATCATCATGCGCTCCCTATTCCTTCGTGTCTTTCTCCGAGTCACATAGAACAAGGGGTACCCAGAAAACAGGTGGGTGACCTCAGCTGTCGGCTGGAGCAGGCGCTCACCTGCTGTTCCCTTGTTTCCTACTGGCAGCCTGAGCGCAGTCTGCTGTAGAGAACCCTCCCGAGCAGTCCACCACAGACAGGGGTCCAGCCAGGCAGAGACCCCCCGCCAGTCTAGGGGGGCTTCTCTTTGGAGTCTCAGGCTCCGGGCGTCTGGGTCCTCCCAGGTGACCCTCCTCACTGCTTCATCCTGCTGTGACCGAATGTTCTGGTCGGGAAGAGAGGGCTAAGACAAGCGCCGGCTGCAGCAGGTGTTGGGAAGGCCAGGACCGTGTAGCCTTCCGAGATTCATCCCTGACTGTGGGAAGGACTCAGCAGATGGTAGTTGCTTGTGTTGCATGTTGCGCTGCTAACCTTGAGGTCAGCAGTTGGAGACCACCAGCCATTTCTTGGGAGAAAAATGAGGCTTTCTACCCCTGTAAAGAGTTAACAGTAAAATCCAAACAAGACAAAAAAGAGCAGTCCCAGTGTTCTATAGGGTTGTTAAAGTCAGTACTGACGCCACGGTGAGCAATTCTTAAGACTACAGAAAGAAATGAGGGAAGACCGGGGGTACCCTTGAATTGACCCGGGATGAACACCGGTTTAGGAAACAAGAATTATAATTGGGTCTTCCCTTACCAGTTTTGAGGAACCCCCTGGAGAAATCCCCAACCCGTGTGCGTTTTCTTTGGTGAAGCGTCCAGGGAGATCAGCTTGACAAACCTTGTGCCTGGTATAGGCACAGACTGCAAACGCTACATTCCGAAACAAGCAGTGCTTTGGAATTCCCAAGTGCAAAGAGTCCAGCAAGTCTGAGCTACTGTTCACAGACTGTAGAAAGTCCTAGGCAAAAATCACATGGCCCCAAATTGATTCGCCCTTCAGAGAGAAGAAATTTAAAATCCTAGTCAAAGGGAAAGGAAACCCACCCAAACGTTTTATTTGTCTCATTATTTTCCTCTCTGTCACTTAGGCCACAAAATGGAATTTCTTCAAAAGAAAATTGAAGCAGACCACCAACTTTGAAAATCCAATCTATGCAGAGGTAGTTATGTCTCCTCCTCCCACCCCTCCTTTTTCCTCAGCCACCACTTGCTTCTTAGAAACAACCCAGGCGGCCCGGTGGGACATTCCTCTGTCCTGTAGGACCCTGATGACTCTCCCCTCTCCCCCCTCCCCCCAAAAAACTGACACAGGTTCATTTTTCTCTAAAACACTCTTTATGGTCCTGTTGGGGAGAGAACTTAGGTTGTAACTAGTGACTTGTGGGGTTTTTAAAATTATTTATTTATTATCATTTTATTGAGGGCTTATACAGCTTTTATGACAATCCATCCATCCATTGTGTCAAGCACATTTGTACTGACTTGTGTTTTATTGTGGTCTTAGATGGGGACAGAGTCAAAGGACCATGCAGCTGAGGCCCCGCCCCCGTCACCTACCTTCCCAGCCCCAGGGCCTCCGAGAACTCCGACTCCAGCCTACACTGCAACAGAGGACACGTTTAAAGACACCGCTAACCTTGTGAGGGAGGACTCCGAGGTATAGCTGGGCCAACCATTTAGGGAATGATTAGAAACACAAACACACTTTTGCACATATATTTTTTACAAACAGATGGAAAAAAAGTTAACATTCAGTACTTTATGAAAAAAATATATAATATAAATATATTTTCCCTTTTTGCCTAGAGTTGGAATTGTCTATGGAAAATGTGCCTTGTGCGTATGTGTTTTGGTTTTTCTTTTTTTTACCATCTTATATTTTTACAAATAATTATCACAATGTACTATATGTATATCTTTGCACTGAAGCCGTCTGAGGGTAATGCTATGAATGCATTGTACATTTGTAAATCTTGGCGAGATGGAAACATCGCCGAATTTGCTGAATAAAAGTGTCTGCTGAATCGGTTGGCGCACCTGACAGTGAATGCATCGGCGAGGGCAGCATTTCTGAAGAAGGGGCACCGCGCCTCCGTAGTTCTCGCAAAGTTCTCCGGGAAATGAACCTCTGCTTTTACACGTCAACACTGGGTCTTCAAATCACATGTCGATCCGGCCCATAGCTGTATCAAACGAGGACGCCGTGTGCTGGGCCCACGTCTGCGTTTGATCGCAGCCACCTCAGAGCAGGCGGAGGGGAGAGTGCAGTGCAGTCTCGCCCGCCCGTGCGTTTGCATTGCTTCCCCAGAACGCTCTGCGGCAGAGGTGTTCTCTCTAGCTAGCTTCTGTTGGCAATGACTGGGAGAAAAGTCCCACGGTAATGAGTGTGCGTGGCATGCAGCGAGTTTATTTCATTGACTGAGCGCCTTCCCTGGGCAGACCCAGCTTGGCGGCTCGGGTTCCTGCCTACCTGGTAAACTAGAGCTCGGTAGCCAAATTACTCAAACCGAACCCGTGTCTTCCCACAGTGAGGTGCAAGACACAGCCTAGTTAAGCCAAGCCTGTACTAGATTTTTTGGTGTGTGACTCTGTCACTATAACTATTTCCTAAGGTGAACATGAAAGGGAAACTCTTACTGAGCCTTTTTTAGGTCCTTTGGCTAAATCCATACGTTTTTATCAGAATGTACTGTACTGTCAAACTCTTGTTTCGGAGCATGGTGGTGTGGTCTCTACAGCAAGGGTTGCTTTTGTGCCCCCCTGGGAAGCGTGGTGGGAATATACCGCTCACCTAGAGCGCAGCATCTGGGTTCTCGGTGCCCGTGTTGCACGTGGGTTGGACAGTGAGTGAGTGGACACACGGATGACTGAAAGGAACACATACTGCTGATTATTTTACTTCTGGGTCCTTGGACTATTTGTTGCTCATATTTTGAGTGCTTTTGGTAATTACTTTGAAATGTACGTTGATTAGCAAAGCAACTGGAAATGATGCTGCTGAAAATTTTCTAATAAATGTGTATTTTATCAGATTTCTTCAACCATGTGTGCTTCTTCAACCCTGATTGTGAATTGGTTCTGTTTTGCTATGCAGACCTTGCGGTTAGCTGCTCTACACAGAACCACTGGGGTTACTTGGTCTAAAGAACAGATATTCCCCCAAAGTCAAATGAATTAATCTTGGTTTTCCATTCTGAAACCTGAATTTTTAAACCATCAATTGGGAATCTGGGAGCTTTTGTTTGCACTTTCCCCAAGGGATTCTTGGCATCACGGCTCATGGAAGCACCGTTCGGCTGTGCCGAGCCTGCGGGCTGCTACTCAGAATGGGTCAAGGCTGGGGGTTAGAATGGGAAGCCACGATGTTCATAACCTCGGCAAGTGACCCCAATTCCTGTTTTAGTATCTTAGAGAGCGAACTAAATCTGGACCCACAGATGTGAGGGGGAATCCTGACTCTAATCATCTGATGCCGGGACAGGGCTGAGCTTCAGTTTCTTATGCAGAATTTGAGGTAACAGGCTCGATACTGCTCCCCTGAGGATAATATTTACTAATTCATCCAACCGAGATGAGCACCTACTCCACTCCTCTCACTGCCACCGAGCCCGTTCTGATCACAGAGATCCTGTGGGACAGGGAGCACTGCCCCGTGGGTTTCCAGGACTAACTGGTTACAGGAGTAGAAAGTCTCCTCTTTCTCCTGAGGAGCACGTGGTGGTTTTGAACTGCTCACTTGGTGGCTCTTGGCCCAGTTTGAAACCACTAGACCACCAGAGCTCTTATGCTCTCAGCTCCACTGAGTAACCGGAAATCACACCAAGAAGTAATCTCCATGGTTCAAACTCGACCTCCCTGTCACCGAGTCAAGTTTGACGCACAGCGACCCTCAGGACGGGGTGGAACTGCCCCCGGGGGTTCCAGGTACTAGTTCTTGATGGGCGTGGAAAGCCTCCGCTTCCTCCCACGGAGGCCCGATGACTTCAAACTTGCCAGCGGTATGGTTAGCGACCCAGCACTTAACCTACCTCGCCACTAGGGATCCTAACATTTACTGAGCACGTCATAAGAAATATAGAGCCCCAGTGGTGCAGTGTGATATACACTGGGCTGTTAACTGCAAGGGTGGTCGTTCAAACCCACCAGCCAGTCCTTGAGAGAAAGCGGAGACTTTCTGCTCCCGTAAGTAACAGCCTTGGAAACCCACAGCATAGTTCATCTCACAGGGTCAGATGTTGTCCCCTGTAAAAGTGTGAGTCACTGTGTAGATAGCTCAGCTTTGAAATAAAACATTTAGCATCATAGATTCCTTGAATGGCTACTAGTTATAATCTGCACAGATTAACTACAATCTGCACAAGTTATAGGAAAATAAAGAAAAGTAGAAAAAGAACAATTTCCATTTTACAACCCAAGGTGAGTTCAAGAAGTTCAACCTGCAGGCCCGGACATCCAGAAACAACGGGCCTCAGTTTCCTCCTCTTGACGTTTTGAAGAGGCTAAAGAAACCCTTAATTAGGATCATGGAGGCTGTGGGCCAGCAGACCTCTGCCCCCAGTGCACGTCTCCAGTGGTGACAGCCTTATGTCCCCTGCATCCTCTCCCTCTGTCAGCATGGGAGAAAAGTTCAATCTCCCAAGAGTCCATGAATTCAGCCAATAAGGGAGGGAAGAGAGAAAAACAAGAAGAGCTTGGGCCCCTTGAATCCAGCCAGTTCGGCCCCTTGGCGATGCTGGCTGCGTCTGGAGGCAGCATGGGGGTTGGGCTGTGGGGAGGAGCGTGGTGGCGGCGTCACCGGGAACCTGGTTTGGAGGATTAGCTTCTACACTTTGCGGCTGTGTCCTTGGGGTGTGTTATTGAATCCCTCTGTCCCCCAGGTTTTTGCTGCGTCCACTGGGCACAAACACCAGCCGCCTTGGTTATTAGGAAGACAAGCGAGGTCAGGGGAAGCTCTTTAAAGAGCTGGATGGACACAGTAGCCGCAACCAAGGGCTCCAACACCGGTTGCGGGAGTGCTGCGGGGACGCATTCTGCTGTGCCCGGGGCGTGCCAGTCAGAGCCACGCCACAGCACCTGACTGCGAGAACAACCCAGAATGTAAGCTCCCGGAGGGCGAGCGCTCTAGTTCATTCCTGCTCGACCCCTGGTGCTTAAAATAGTCTCCTTTTTCTTTTTTAAAAATCATTTTATGGGGGGAGGGGGTATGTCTGACAGCTCTTATAACATTCCATACATCGATTGTATTACAGTATTATTCTTGATGCTCAAATAGCTGCTGAACCAAGGTAACCCACTTAGCACAGGTCCTGCCCTGTAACACGGCCCAAACAAACCGAAAAACCAAAACAGGGACATGCACGGCCATCGAGTGGAGGCCGACTCACTTAAACCACAACCTGGATTCACTCCCATCCAGGCAGCCCTGACTCCGCAGGGACCCCAGGTGAGCCAGAGGAGAACGCTGCTCCGCGGGGTTGTCAAATGAGGGCTTTCTTGGATGTAGGTCACCAGGGTTTTCTTGAGCTGGCTTCGAGTGGACTTGAACCTCTACCTAGTTGGCAGCTGGGCACATCAACCTTTCCCTCTCCCAGGAACTTCAGCACCACCGTTATTCTGTGAGAGATGCTTTCTTGATCTGAATAGCAGGGATTGCCCAACGTGGGGAGTGTTATTAATGCCACTGAAGTTCATGGGGGAAAGAATGGCTGAAATGGCCAAATGCTTTGCCATATGTATTTCTTTGTTGTTGTTGTTGAGATGGAATTTTTTTAAATCATTTTATTAGGGGCTCATACAACTCTTGCCATATGTATTTCAACACATTATTATGTATTTCAACACAATAATCATACAAAAAGGATAGGGAAAAACATGCTATCCTGTGTCATGGGGCTTGCACTTCGGGGCACCTTCCAAGAGTTCTTACAAGCACTCACGAGAGGCTCAAAGCACGTTGGTTTGTTCCACACATTTGAGCTCGGCTGGTGTCCATCCACCACCCGGAGGAGACAGTGGATCTGGGCAAGAGGACGGTGGACGAGAGCATTGGAGCATCCTGATGTGCAGGCCTGGCCTGGGGGTGGTACCGGGACAGCAGTGGCCTGAAATGCTGGAGGAAGGATGCAAGGCAGAGTGGGAACAGGAAGCCAAAGACACTTTTGGTTTGTTGTCAGAACTACCCAGGTGGACCCTGGACCCAGGAAAAGAGAAGGCCATGCTCTATTTCTTGTTTCTAGATTTCTGCCTGCTCCTGATGGGGTGCCCTGCTGTTGCCAACTCACAGAAGTGGACGCAGCCCGCGTCCTGTTAGTTCCACAGCTGAGCCATGTGTAGATGCAGTTGCTGGCTGAAGGGGCCCTGGACCACCAGTCGACCTATGGTTTCGTTGAGAAAATTCATTCTCAGGCCCAAGCAGGTGATGAATGGGGGAGGTCTCTGAAAGAAACCCAGGGTTTTGTCCTGGAATTCAGACCAGTCTGAGTTTATCCCAGCGGGTGGGCAATGGGGAGTTCTGTTTGCATAATAAAGAGTCCCCTTGCACACGTGTGTATACACACACACACACACACACACACCCTGCAAGAAGGAAGGTGGGCTCTTTGAAGCTGACTGACAGACCCAGGGTAGAAAATTCCTGAATACATTGAATATGCATTGCTGACAAGATTCCAACCCGGTGAGTGGGGTTGGGGGATGTCCCCGGGTGTTTATAGGGTAGAACTGTTCCGGAGGGTTTGGGAGGCTACAATCCTTACAGAAACCCACTGCTGGGCTCCCCTCCCATGGCACTCTGGGGAGCTTTGCACTGCCGAATGTTGGCACCACCCAGGCCAAGGATGTTTTAGCTCCTCAACAATCTAGAAAGTGTTCACAGTTGAGGAGAGAATGTGGAGGCACCAGTGCCAGCAGTGAGGAGCATCTTGGGAGTGACCATCACCTTCTCCCCCAGCCAGGCTCCTGTGGTTCCCAGGGAAGGAAGCCATTCAAGGTAGAAAACCAGGCCAAGGAAGGACGCATGACACTAGGTTGGTAGAACTGGATGGCCTTTGAAAGGTGGGCATTTAACCTGTGGAGTTCAGCTTGAGGTCTCCTCCCCTGCCCTCTTCCCTTTAAACAGGAAGACTACGAGGAGTTGGTAAGATGGGTACAGATGCGAATGCTCCAAACAGGTTCTATAAGCGGTGATTGTTTCCTGTTCGTCTCCTACCTCCCTATGTTAGCCAGAGACACCGACTGGACTGTTGTTTACCCAAAGGGCAGCCAAATCACTCCTTATGCCGCCCCCCTCCGCCCCATTCCTGTCTACAACCAGAATACTGGGGCGCACTGCCAAAGGATTAAAATACATGTGATCCTGGAGACGGATTAAATACAAGTAATGGCCAACATGCTACCTGAACGTTATGTTTCTCTAGAACATCTCAGTTCCTTTAGAAAGGTCGAGAGAAGGGACTCAATTCAGTCACGAGGCCAGGTGGGTTACAAACAGCCAAGTTTCTTTCTCACCTGGGTGCAGATGGGCTGAGGCAGAACAGCACATCCTCTTGAGCTCAGGGACTCGTGCCCTGATATACTGCATAGAAATAAGGAATGGGCTTGGTCCCCCGTGCTAGAAAATGCAGGCTGAAGTCTTCTTGATCGATCGGCGTCATAAAGCTCCAGGTAGTCATTTTCCATCGGCATCATTCGTGGCTCACTGATTCCTTCATGGCTGTCGCTGTCCTTGGCTCGCTGGTTTCTGACAAAGGCACATTCTTTCCTGTTTGTGCAGAACTTTTTACAGGGTCAGCCTTGGGGCAGAACTTTATAAGGTGAGCTCAGGGGCAAACATGGAGGAACTTTGGTTCTTGGTAGACTCTATGAAGTCTTAGACCTTTCACATGTTATAAAGATTGGCTTAAAATATATCCCATTTTGTCCATTGTAGTAAAAGCAGAGGGGGGAAACTGCATAGAGAAGACAAAAGACAATTTGTAAACCAGAACTTAATGAGTCATTTCAACTTTAACCCCCTCCTTGTGCCCACCTCACC